AATTATCTTGTAAAGTAAATCATCCCATATGTCTGTACAAGTGGGTCCTTGATGAGCTGAGTTAGAATCACAGAAAAGTAGTAAAGGGCATCACCGTGAAAGTAGATTACATCGGACTCGGAATCAGAATGTGAATATACAAATAGATTACCAATATAGAGGCCATTTTCACCTCCCTTTAGGTGCTGGATCTGACCAATTGCCTAACTAATGCCCAAATACAAGCACAAGAAAAAAAAAATACCCTTTCCACCACAATGCAGTGTAGTTTTTCTATGGATATTTTGGCTCTTAGACTTTATGTATATCACATCATTGTGGTGTTTCATGGTATGTTATGTTGTTAGTGTATTTTACATTCTTGTCTGTATGCAATTTGCTTGTTTCTGCTGATGGATGTAAAAAAAAATGTGATGCCATGTCATACTAGTATATTCTGTTGCACACCTCTACAAAAAAAAAAAAATACCCTTAAAGCAAGTGCCCCCCATTCATGCACTTGCTTGCCAAAAGCATCCCCTCTGCCTATTTCCTCCATGTACAATGCAGGGTTAATAGCCCTGCATTGTATGTGATGACACAGAGGTTTAGCTTTAACTGCTACTCTGAGCATTTGTCATGTGCATTTCTTCAACAATACTTGTGCTTTCCGTGCTACCTAATACTTCTGATAGGCATCATGTTCTTTATAATATACCATAGGTTTATCAATTTATTACAAAATATAATGTATATAGACAAACTGTAATAGTAACTGAAGAGGGGGAGCGAAGAGAAACTCTTTCTATTGACTTCCATTATGTCAATGCCATAAACCTTATAATTAAATAGTGTTTAGCTATCTGACATTTTGGTTCAACTAGAAATATAAAATATTCATTACTCTCCAAAAAAGGTGTTTATTTATAGAGCCCTGTTCCATAAGGCATAGGAAAAAAAATGAATTAAGGTCACATAGGACCCAGCAAGGACAATAACTCAGATCCTATACACACGAACACACATATAGCACTCACACCTGATCTCTCCCCTTCATCAGCAATACATAAATCACAAGATCAAACACCTCAAAAAGGCTGTACAGAAAAAAAAATACATATTTAAGGAAGCATACTTAAGGGAGTCTAACCATAGGTGCCATATTTTCTGAAATGTTTGGTTACCCACTTTTCCATTGTAGATAATTTTCAATTTTAGAAAATCTATATTAATTTGGCAGGACCCTTGTGATTGAGTGGGAGGATTTTTCCAGTTCAGTAAAATAACTTTCTAAGTGACTGAAAACTAAAATAGGTTTTCGTTATATTAAAGATGCTATTCCAAAACTACCAATGGAAGTACAAGTCCAAAACAGATCATATGCAGTGCCTGGAGATTCACCATATCTAGGACATTGAATATTAAGTGCAATTTCCATACACTTACCTAGGTTGTAGTGTAACTAATGTATGAATTTAAATTCCGTATGCTTATTGGCCTTGCTGATGACATCCTCAAACCATGTATCAACAACATTGTCCCAGCTCTCTTCAATGACGTCGGCAAAAAATATGCTGATATTACTGATATTAAGCCCCAGATTTCATGACAAAATTGTATTTTGGAACATTATTAGACCTTTCCTTTTCAATTTTTTAAATCTACATAGAGTTTGATTTACTAAAACTAAAGAGTACTAAATCTGGAGCAGCTCTGCGGAGAAACCAATCAGCTTTCAGTTTTTTTTGTCAAAACTTAATTGAACAAGCTGAAGTTAGAAGTTGATTGGCTACCATATGCAGATGCACCAGATTTTGCACTTTCCAGTTTTAGTAACTCAACCCCATAGTTTATTTTACTGTTAAATATTTTACTTTTCATAAATTAAATATTTTCTGTCACTTCTTATTCTGGGTGCTCCTGATTAACAGAGAAATTTCTATTAGGATATCTCTATGTAGTTCCATTAGATGCAAAGTCTTACTGCTCAGTCATACTCATACCTCATTAATATGATATTTCCAGGAAAACCTTCACATATGCTTGGCTGGGAAACAGATCTGGGTTAGAATATAAATAAGGGTACCTAGAATCAAATATTCTAGCCAGTTGCCAAAATGCCTTGATCTGTCCGGGTATAACAATCCACATATGAATTATTCATGATGTAGTACATAATCCTTGTAACAATTTAAAAATTAAATCCAGAAATTTCTCTTCTGTTTTTTCAGAGGTGGTACAGAGCCAGGCAAAATTAAGCCTCACTTTTAGGAAAGTTACAAAGGTAATTTTTTCTCTACTCCATTAAAAAAGTACTTAGGCGAGTTTTACAAATTAATATTTTCATTTCTGTGTTTTATGCTTTACTTTTATTGCTCGTTCCCTTAGTGGTCTGCTTAAAAATGTATCTTACATATTTTAGCACATACTTAATAACTATAGCTTCAGAATGGTACTCCCACTCCTTTCCTTTCAGTCAGCTAAAATCCACATTACATTAATTTATTTTGATAGAAAAGAACTGGTCCTATTATTGGAAATTCCATACTCTGTATTTATCCAGTTTGGGTTTGCCATTGGATTAGACAGATCTTCAGAGCCATGTTATAAAAAATGTAGATTATAACCCTTTTTCTGCCAAAGCAATTTTTGCACTCAAGTTAAAAACCATGTTTTAGGACAGAAGATTGCCTAAAACTCCCAAAATATAATACATCTTCTGAAATCAGAGACCCTGTAGAATAAAATGTTGGCACTTGCAGTGTTTTATGTCACACAGGGGGCGATTTACTAAAGCTGGTTCACTCAGAATCTTGTGCACCTGTGCATGGTAGTCAATCAGCTTCTAACGTCAGCTTGTTCAATTAAGCTTTAGCAATAATACCTGGAAGCTGGTTGCCATGCAGAAGTGCACAAGATTCTGAGTGAACCAACTTTAGTAAATAAATCCCACAGTGTTAGCCCAATTGTTTAGCATACACAAATTGGCAGTTAAAATTACACTCGAATTATTTTTTTAATACCCATTTTTGGCAAAATTTTTAAGATGGGGGTTAAATAGGTAAATAGATTCTTAACAGGCCTAGCTTTATATTGTGTGCATGCCCCTAAAACAGAAAAAACTATGATACCCAAAATTGTTCTTGGGCAATGATTAAAAAGCTTTAAAGTTAACAATGAATTATTTAGAATTTAGGTAGGTCTTAAGTTGATTTTACTGAAATTGCACATTTGTCAGATCGTTCTGTGTATGGTGACCCTTAGGCTAGGTTCACAACGCTGGTACAATGACAAATGTGGGAAAATAAGTCCCTGACCCTTTTTTTAAAAAACTCACCACACAGAACCACATGCTGCACATGCGCAGGTGATGATACATGGGGGAGCCATTAAGAATAACATAGTTACATAGTTGGTAAGGTTGAATAAAGACATCAGTCCATCCAGTTCAACTTGTGTGAGTGTTAGTGTGTGTCTTCAGGTTGGGGTGTCTCCAAACAAGACCTTATAGATGAGATGACGAGTCCGAATTGATAAAGAAAGGTGCATTTATTACACTGCAGTGGAGATAATATAGCACACAAAAGTTCACCTCATGTGAGATGAACTAAGGTAATACAAAATATATATATCTGTCTCTTTAAGCTTAGACTATTACATATATAGACATAACGTATAGGCGTGATTGTACTGGGGTTTAGGCGTGGTCATATAGTCTTGACCCAATCAAATTTCATATGCTTAACAGCAAACTCAGAGTTAAATGTAGGTTAATAGTTCAAATAAGTCCAAAAGTAGACAGTTGCTGGTTTGACCATAAGATGCTTTTCTTAAACTTGAAAGAGGAAGTTAACCTTTAAATCCAGACGTCTCAGACGTCAAATCACATTTCCTGAGAAGAGAAAAAGGAACTGCAGTAAAAATTCTTATAGGTATATATGTATATTAGAACATTAAATATCAGACCCCCATATTTCTACTCAAGTGTATGAGTGTGTATGTATTTATATCTGTACCATTCCCCATATCCCTGTATATTACATTTGCTAAGATGCAAATCTAAGGGTTTTTTGAAATTATCAACACTCCGTGCTGGCACCACAGATTGTGGAGTTCCACATCCGTACTCGGTGGACTGACAACTCATGGGGCCCCCAGGGAATAGGGGATCATGGGGCCCCTGTGTCCTTGCCCAAGCTCAAAAAAGCCTATGATAAAGGTACCAGGGGCATTTCATGGGGCCCCCTACTGCCCTGGGCCCTCGGGCAGTGCTTGAGTTTCAAAATGGTCAGTCTGCCCCTGTCCTTACTGCTCTAACAGTAAAGAACCCATTACGTAGTTTAAGATTAAACCGCTACCTGTCCACCTTCATTGAATGGCATAAAGGTAATTAATGGCACCCTACGCGTCTTTGGAAGAGCAGCGCATTGCTGTGTGGGTCGAGAACGCATGCACACATCATGCACACATCTCTGACCCGCACATATGTGAATCTAAGCCTAGAAAGTATCTCTAAAAAAAAAAGCTTGTAAGCTGACTTGCATCTAAGTACAGACTTCTGAAATAAGCAGTGAGTAAATCATACAGGCAGGAAATAAGATTCTTGAAGAGTTCTATACACATACAGACTACTGAAGGTCTCTGAACTGCCATACTGCTAGGAAGCCCCATTTGTATTTCTCAAAAGTTACAAGAAATCAATGACTACAGATTTAAATAGAAAAGTAGTTCTTACAACATTTATACATTTACCGTATTTGCCGGCGTATAAGACGACCCCCTACTTTTCCTGCTAAAATGTAGTGTTTGGGCTATACTCGCCGTATAAGACTACCCCTCTTCCAATGCACACCAGTGGGAGGAATAGTGCCCCATCATCAGTGTCAGTGGGAGGAGGAATAGTGCCCCATCATTGGTATTAGTGGCAGGAATAGTGCCCCATCATTGGCATTAGTGGCAGGTGCCCCATCATTGGTGTCAGTGGGAGTAGTGCCCATCATTGGTATTAGTGGGAGGAATAGTGCCCCATCATTGGTGTCAGTGGGAGGAATAGTGCCCCATCATTACTATCAGTGGGGGGAATAGGTGCCCCATCATTGGTATCAGTGGCAGGAATAGTGCCCATCATTAGTATCAGTGGGGGGAATAGGTGCCCCATCATTGGTATCAGTGGCAGGAATAGTGCCCCATCATTGGTATCAGTGGGAGGAATAGTGCCCCATCATTAGTATCAGTGGGGGAATAGTGCCCCATCATTGGTGTCAGTGGGAGGAATAGTGCCCCATCATTAGTATCAGTGGGGGGATAGTGCCCCATCATTGGTGTCAGTGGGAGGAATAGTGTCCCAACATTGGTGTCAGTGGGAGGTGTCCCATCATTGGTGTCAGTGGGGGGTGGAATAGTGTCCCATCATTGGTGTCAGTGGGGGGTGGAATAGTGCCCCATCATTGGTGTCAGTGGGGGGGGAATAGTGCCCCATCGTTGGTGTCAGTGGGGGGGAGGAATAGTGCCCCATCGTTGGTGTCAGTGGGAGGAATAGTGCCCCATCATTGGTGTCAGTGGGAGGAATAGTGCTCCATCATTGGTATCAGTGACACCAATGATGGGGCACTATTCCTCCCACTGACACCACTGACACTTGCTGACCCTGTTCTAGTATGGTGCTGCTGCAGCCAGCATATGTGGTTGCAGCAGCACCTCTACACTGAACACTTACCTGCTGCTCCTGCACTCGATTTTCGTGGGGCCGCTCGGCTCCGCCCCCTCTCCGGTGATTGGCCGCCTGTGTGCCTTTCCTGAGCTACAGTTCTGGCGGCCAATCACCGGTGAGGAGGCGGAGCCGAGCAGCCACGTGAACATCCAGTGGCCGAACTGAAGGAGCAGCCGCACTTCCTGGACCGGATCGTCGTGGGACCGGAGCCAGGTAAGAAACAGCCGCTGCCCACCCCTGTACTTAGTGTCCCTTCTGTTGGAAGGGGGGGGCGGTGGCGGCACCGCGCCGCCCCCCTAAAAAGTGTCAGTATACCGTATACCGGCGTATAAGACGACCCCCGACTTTTGAGAAGATTTTCAAGGGGTAAAAAGTCGTCTTATATGCCGGAAAATACGGAATATATATGAAAGCTGAGATTTCCTTTAATAAAAATAAAGAATAACAGGCCTGTATTACTAAAACTGGAATGTGCAAAATCTGGTGCAGCTTTGCTTAATGAAACAAGCTGACTGCAGGTTCACACCTATGCAGGTTGCGTTTAAGCCATTTCTGCATTTTGCGTTTTTGCACCTGCTTTTTTGATGCGTTTTGCGTTTTCTTTTTAATTTTTTAATTTTTCTTGTTGCTAGGCAGATTTAAAAAACGCAACTTTTTGTGTTAAAAAAAGTCTCTGACCCTTTCCAAAAAATGCACTGGGTGAAAACATGCAGATGTGAACATGTCCCATAGGAAATCATGTTAAATGGACTGTACTGCGTTTCTGCAAAGTGCTGGTGTAAAGTGCTTAGGCGTGAACCTAGGGTAAAGTTAGAAGCTGATTGGCTACCATGCACAGCTGCACCAGATTTTGCACTCTCTAGCTTTAATAAATCAACCCCTCTATGTGAGTTAGAAGGTGATAAAGGTATTATGGGCCAAATAAACAGACCTACTGTAAATAAAACAAAATTGCTGTGCTTCTGAAAAACGTAAATACATGCATGAATGAATGAGTGTGGACCTAAGGTGTATAAAGATAATTTTGCAGCCAACCAACCAACTTTTGTGTCTGAATTTTTGAACTCAGATTTCAAAGGGTTATTTTACCTTTTCACAAAAATTGTCCTTCTGAGAAGTCTCGGCATCCTGGAAGAAGAAAGGAAAGAAGGGTGAGGCGAGCATAGATTAACCGTTTCAATACCGGGCAATTTTATACCTTCCTGCCCAGGCCATTTTTCAGGTTTCAGCGCTCTCACACTTTGAATGACAATTGCGCAGTCATACAACATTGTACCCAAACTAAAATTTTATCATTTTCTTCACACAACTAGAGCTTTCTTTTGGTGGTATTTAATCACCGCTGGGGTTTTTATTTTTTGCTAAATTAACAAAAAAAGACCAAAAATTTTGAAAAAAAAAACACATTTTTCTTTGTTTCTGTTATAAACGTTTACAAATAAATAATTGTTCTTCATAAATTTAGGCCGAGATGTATTCTGCTACATGTCTTTGGTGAAAATAACCCAAATTAGGATGTATTTTTTAGTTTGTAGGAAAGTTATAGAGTTCACAAACTATGGTATAGATCTGAATATTGATCAATCCTGAAGTACTGACAGCCAATCTAATTTCTTGAGGTCCAAGAATGTCAGAACAGTACAGATATCCCCCAAATGACCCCTTTTTGCAAAGTAGACAGTCCGACGTACTTCATAAGAGGCATGGCGAGTTTTTTGAAGTTGTATTTTTTTGTCATAATTTTTCGGAAAATGAAAAAATGAAAAAAATTTTCACTATTTTTTTTTTTACATACTGTCACCAGTGCAGTACAGCATCATCATATAACTGGCATGGCGGTTAACAGGGACACTGACTGGTAACAGTATGAAAAAAAAAAAATATATATTTTTTTAATTTTTTTTAATTTTTTTATTATATTTAATTTTTTATTACTTTTTTTATTTTTTTTAAGATTTTTTTTTTCATATTTTACTATGACCAAAGTAGTACAATGTTACCATAGTAACATTGTACTACTTTGGGGAAGTGATCAGTATTTTTTTTTTACACAATTTGCTTATAGCAAAGAATTACTTTGCTATAAGCAAGCATTTACCTGAATGAAATCGATTCATTCAGCTTTTTTTTTTTTTTTTTTTTGTGCTTAGCTGTGATTTGGTCACAGCTAATCACATGACATGTGCATGTGATTAGCTGTGACCATTCACAGCTAGGCACTAGTATACAATGGATGGCATCATGAATGAAGCCATCCATTGTATACAACTGTCATGTGACCTGCTGTGATTGGTCACAGCAGGTCACATGGTACCAGCAACGGGAGCCGTACTCGGATCTGTCATCGGCCGTGTCCGAGGTGCACGGCCGGTGACAGATCGCACTGCTGCGCCGCTCTGCATTTGCGCAAACTGTGCATGTGCGGGAGCACGCCAAATGGCGTGCACCCGGAGTGCAGAGACACATTTGAAGCCGCCAAACGGCCATTGGCCAGGCGGCTAATGGTTAAATATGCCCGGTCATGATTAAGCACCTGAAATGCGTCAGCACTTGCTATGCGTTATGCTGTTTGGATTTTTGATTTTTTTTTTTTCAATAAACTTACAGATCTTAGCAACAACAGTGTGCGGTCAACTACCTCTTAATTGTTCATGTTCATTGTTCATGTTCTGCGGTACTGATACCTGTGTCATTACAGTGCTATTCATTCTCTGTTAAGGTGGGAATACACGATTAGAAAATCGAGCGATCGGTCATCCAACGACCGAGAGGCGTTCGTTCGTTGGACGAAATCGTGGCCCACATTAATCAATCTAAAAAAAAGTGCTCATCGGGCAATACCTAGTGATGACGTCTTCCGTACAAGTGGAAGTGATGCAGTGTGCATGTGACCTTGTAGCCATGCCCTGCCGCCTAGAACGAGCGATATACACAACAATTAACAGCAATGAGTATAATATAGTTTATTACAATAACTATATACATAAATAGTGATACATAAAATATAATATGCAGAATTCTGGTTTCATTATCTCATTAGGCCAATCTACTTTAAACATTTGGATTTTTTGTTCTTGTTTATGTAGATTCCTTGCACATAAACATCCGGGCCATCTTCTGTTTCCGCTCATGCGTGAAAGCGCTTGATAGATTTTTTTTTTCGTATGACCGTCATACCAGCGCATAGAAAATCGGTCATTCGTATGCGAAACGACAAAATTTTTCACTGTTGTTCAACCGGATTTTTTTATTCACAATATCGTTATCAGTTAAAACATCCTGCTCATCGCCGAAGAGAAAATAGTTTGATCAGTGGTTCTGCAAAATTTTTTGTACGATTTTTTTTATCGTGTCTACGGGGCATTATACTGTGCTATGTGCACCACAGCCCACTTAGCCAGAAAAATAGGTGTAGCCCGCAAAGCCCCATGGGGCTCACCCTGCGAAATGCATCAGAGAGATTGGGGGAGAGATGGTCATGTGACATTGACAAATAACATGCCTGGGTTCTCTTTCCAGTTTTTTTTTTTTTTCAAATCTCAATCTTTTTTAATGTGCTCTCTCTGCTTCAGAGTCCCAAAAATGGTGTACAACAGGGCACATTTGTAAAGCACACATGAATATTTTTTTGTTTTTTACTGCTGTATGGTCAGCGGTGCAGCTATATCTTTGCTTTGTAAACAAGCTCCTAAGTTACATATCATTATATTGACTTCAAATATCTGTATCTTTCTACAGCATCAGCACAGGTTGCAAATATAAGTATATGCATTCATAGGGTTGTGTTTACAGTATATTGTAAATGCATCCATGCAGTAAATAACAGTGTTGATATTGAAGCTAGATTGCCTATAATGATTTTCCTGTGCTACCTTCAACATGTTCAGAACATATATAACTGACAAATGATTAGATACTGTTAACCTGGATACATTCAGTGTGATTATTATTATTATTATTATTATTATTATAATAATAATAATAATAATAATAAAAATATATAATAATAATAATAATAATAATTTAGAAAAGATAATAAGAAATAATTATAATTATTATTATTATTATTATTATTATATATAAATATGATTGCTGTCATTGCTGTTTTCCTTCTAAATTACTAGTAATTGACTGTGGGGTGGATTTACTAAAACTGAAGAGTGCAAAATCTGGTGCGGCTCTGCATAGAAACCAATCAGCTTCCAGGTTTTTTTGTCAAAGCTAAAGCTTGTTAAAAGCTGATTGGCTACTATGCACAGCTGCACCAGATTTTGCACTCTTTAGCTTTAGTAAATCAACCCCCATAAGTCACTCTAAGAAACACGCAGTTACAAATAGCACAGTAAAACCATGACTCCTAATTTTTGGAGGTCTTTAAAACTCAGAAAGTGATGATTTCATTGGTTCACTGCGGAAGCCAAGGAATTAGCATTTTTTTGAAGGAAAGGTTAGTAAAGCTGTCCTCTACATTTCTCCAGTACAGGTTTCCTTTAGTCATTCAACAAAATATTGCCATATGCCAACAGTCACATTTTGATGTATAAATTGATCATTTATTTATATATAAAATTTGCTGAGTGTAGTAATCACTTTCCTCACAGATACTGTATGTACGAAACTGCATATCAGCAGGAATTTAAATAACAATATGACATTTTATCCTGATGGCTAGATGTAGAATATTGGCAGCTGCTCAAATCAAGTTTATTTTGTACTTTTTCAGCATATGGCCCCCATATGTGCGACAGCAAATTATTTGATAACATAATTAGCAGGGTTATTTTTGAGAAGGATGTGCGAAAGCCGTTAATTGGATTGTGTGGATTTAATTAATTTAATTTAAAATGATATGGCTTGATAGAAATTCTACTGACCTTTGCCTCAGTGTGGTACAAACATGGAGTGTTGTATCTAA